TTGGCCTTAGCAAAGTTAAGGGAGTAGGATTTATGTTGCCTATTTAAAAATGGGAAATGTTGCAGGCCTAGGGCAGGAGGTGGGGGCAGCCTAGATGGGGTCAACGAAGGTGAGGGGGGGGGTGAGAAAGGGGACATATGGGTAATACTTTCAACAATAAAGATTTTTAAAAATTGGAAACATGATGAGATAGTTGTTTGCAAAAGAATGAGAGTGTTTTGTAGATGAAAAGAAAGTATTTTCGAAGTCAGGCGAGATTCAGGTTAACCGAGAGGAAGAAACTCCTGCTAAAACCAGCAGCAGACCCATTTGCGGGGCAACACGGGGTGAGAAGGCGCTGCCCCTGCCTTCAGGGAGCTGAAGACAAGGAAACAGCAGGCATGCGTGGAGCTCGGAATGAAGCCAGGACAGTATTTCAAGTCTAGACTATGGGCTCCAGCACTGAGTAGGCGACCTCTGGACAGGATGGGAGAGAAGCAGAAGCAGGCAGCAGGGAAGGCTTGAGGAGTCTGTGGGGCTTGAGTGAGGCTTAGAAGAGAGCCTTTCTTAGGCGGATGGGGTGACAGCATTCAAAAGCAGAGGCACCCCATGTTTTTTATTGTGATTTCCCCAGTGAAAAATATATATGGTTTAGTCACCATGCAGTACACGCATACAAAGACATATAACCTCATTAAAATATGATGTATCTGGTGTTTCTATTCTCTATTTTTTTTTAAGTGTTGGATTAACCCACTAATAGGTTAAAAACATTCTAAGGGGACCAGGAGCCCAGTGTGGAGACGGAGCTAAGCCTGCCCCATGGAGGGGGCTTCCATGGGAAGGGGGCAGAGGGGATATCGTTGGTGGGATGACGGTCCGCAAAAGTGTAAGTGAATTACTTCGGGATGTTATGGCAAAATTTCGAACTTCACCTATCACATGATCTACTTCTTACACAAAAACACTTCTGACCAGGGCTGCCTTTGGACAGTAGATTAGCCAAGATAGCTTTTTTTAAAGATTCCTTTTGATGCTTGATTTCAATTTAGTACCACTCAGTAGGGTGATGCAGGTGGGGGAGAGAAATTTGTTTCTGGATTCTCAAGAGCAGTAATATGAATGGACACCTGGTTTATCTCATCTTGTGATCAGCTATGGAATGTTTGGTTTAGAATGTAAATCGAATAGTTTCATAGGAGAAAATAGAGGGACTGTGTCTGGCGACAGGTCTAGGAGAGTAAAGAGATGGCATCTTGAAAGCCATGCTTCTGGAAGGCACGTGGCATGGCCGGTTGTGTATAGCAGAACTAATTACAAGTAGAAGATGGGCCCGGCCCAGGACTGGAGAACTCTGTGACATTAGCATCTGCTCCCTGCTGTTACCAGAATAAAGGGGTCTGTTCACCTGCCCCCATCAAAGCCCCCTCAGATGTGAATAGGAGTTTGCAGCAAAGAATTTTATTAGTTGAGGAAATGGCACCAAGCCTGGAGTCCCAGGTAAGCTAGTGCTCAAAGACCCGGCTCCCTGGTGATGGCTGCCAGGGGATGGGCTGTGTGGGGGAAAGTCATTCATCATGGCGGCTACAGGAGTGGGGCCATGGTCTCTGCTGATTGGTTGGAGGCAGGTAGAGAGTAGCTGACCATTGTGTCAGGTCCTGATGTCAGCCATGGTATTATTCTGTCTTGTCTCGTGAGGAGATGATCTGTAGGGTCCTTCTACTTTCATGGGCCTGAGGCTGAAACACAACTGAAATCTAGATGTTATCTTTCACTTGACTGAAACTCTGTTTCTGTGATCAACAGCCTTGAGGCTTTGTTCTTAAGACAGATTGACACTGACCAGAATCTGATGTCCAAGGGGCTTGATGACTAGAGAAGGGAGTGGACAGGCAGAAAGGAGACAGGGTCATGTTAAAGAGATGGAGTGTCTGCCCCGTTACACTGCCACATGGCATTTCACCCGGAAGACTCACGTTCGGAACCTGGATTCCTGGTTGGAGGTCTAATTGGGACCCTTCTTGGCCTCTACTTGTAGAGCACTTGTGAGACCGTTAAGAGTAAAACTCTCCTCTTTTCCCAACTGATGGTCTCCTTTTCCCCCAGGATCTTCCCAATTTGTTCTGAACTGTTCTCTCGGCTCAGACTCAAAGGCCAACATATACAGCACCCACCCCTCCTTTCCCTTCTCACTGCTTCCGGTGAGCCGCATCTGCAGCACGTGCAGGTTGAATGGTGTTGCCAGTTATTTATTAAATCTGTGTGTGGGTTGGGCATGTTCTCTTGCCTCGTGTGCTCTAAGAGAAAAAGAGAGGCGAGATAAAAGAGAAGAGTTTTAGATCTCAGGGGATTTGCCATTGACCTTGTCCTCCAAAGAGTAAGGGAAGGGGCAGTCCTTCCTGCTTGGCGCTAGCGAAATGGAACTCCCTACAGACCCACATGTAACTAATTTTAAGAAATCCCTGCAATCACATTTTTCTCGACCCGAGTTGAGTGCACAGACTGAAAAGGAAAACCCTTTCATGTGGCCGTTCTAAGTATTTTCAATCATGTCCCCTGAGATTTAATATCCTTTTGATCTTCCCAATCCCGATTTAATTTGGTCCGGGGAGGATTTAAAAGACAACATGAATAACGGAGCATGGGATCATGTAAGTAGGAATCATGAGTCCTACCTGTACTTCAATAAACTTTGCTGGTTTTGTTTGGGCTTGTAAAAAGTCGCACTCTGGGGGAAATACACTGCAGGCTGTTTCTTCGTGTTGGCTACATTTTGTTTTTCAGGACAGTTTCCTGTTGTACTAATGAAAGCTGGTGCCTGGAGTGGTCTATTTCTTGTGTTCCCCTCCCCTTCCAGAGAAAGCCCGATTTATAATTGAAGATGAAACCTAATGTCTTCTTTGCGAGCAAATTGATTGTTGTCGGAGAGTGTGGAGGAGATTGGCCCAGACACCTTCCTACTTGGTTAGAAATGTTTAGAAAACCGTCGCGGAGAGCTGCACCGAAGTCTGGAATTCACATTAACAATCCAGTTCCTCAGCTGCACTTGCCACATTGCCAGTGCTTCCACGAGGCGGCAGATGCAATCTTGATATTTGGGGCCGGATGATTGTTTGTAGCAGGGAGGGAGCTGTCCTAGGCATTGAAGGATGTTTAGCAGCACCCCAGCCTCGAGATGCCAGTAGCGCCCCCTATTCATGACAATCAGAAATGTCTGTGTAGATAGCCAAAAATCACCCCTGGTTGAGAAGTACTGCCTAGGGCAGGGGTCCTCAAACTTTTTAAACAGGGGGCCAGTTCACTGTCCCTCAGACCGTTGGAGGGCCGGACTATAGTTTAAAAAAAAACTATGAACAAATTCCTATGCACACTGCACATATCTTATTTTGAAGTAAAAAAACAAAACGGGAACAAATACAATATTTGTATTTGCATGTGGCCCGCGGGCCGTAGTTTGAGGACCCCTGGCCTAGAGGGACAGTTTTGGGCAGTGCAGATATAGAATGTTTCTATTAATGCAGACAGAACTGTTCTAGAAAAATCCATAGCAAAGTTTGGTTTGGGGCATTTTATAGATTAAGTGTTTTGAGCTTTAAGGGGATCAGTGTGGTCATCAAGTCCAATGCCTTGGGAAACTGAGGCACAGAGAGGTTTTTTTGAGTGACTCTAAGTTCATAGCATGTAAGTGTCAATGGAGAGTTGTGGACTTAAAGTTCATGCAGTCTTGGGGACAACGTCTCATTTTCTCTCAAGCTTACCATTCTCTCTGTGTTCTTTAGGGGTGGGTGGGATGGGTCGGGGAGAGTCCTGAAGATGGGAGGGTCCAGTCCTGAGACTCTCAGAGGAGTAAATTCCTAACTTGAACCCTGAGTACACCTGTTTTACTCCTCCATGGCCTGTGATTTCTCTGAGGCCCTGCCTCCAGGCTGGAGACATCTGGTAGACCCGGCCCTGCTCAGTGAGAGGGCAGAGCCCTGTTGGGTTTCCCAGTTCCCTCAGCACAGAGAGATTGGGAACACTCTGGGGCCACGGAAAACCGTAGTCCTGCAAAATTCCCTTCTGTTAGTTTTTTAATCTCCAGTATCTCTTCTGTCTCTTACCCTGAAGTGGTCCATGGTAAAGCCTTTAGTACGAAATTTCTGGAGGTTCTTTGGAGGCCACAAGGAAGCAGAGAACCCTGGAGAGCTGTGTATAGAGGGTTTGGGGAGTGAGGAGGAGTCTCTGGGAGGGGATACCTTTAGCTACAGGGGCGAGAAAGCAGGCTTTGCAGGGGGAGTCTGGAGGTGACGGGGCCTGCAGAGTGACCCATGGGCTTTGAGGTGACCAGGGTCTTTTCTCCCCCCATTAATTCCATAGGCCTCACCTCTCCCAATGACTTCCCGAGTCACTGATTTTGTCCCCGCACTCCCCTGCTCCAGACCTTTAGTGGCTCACTGCTTGCTGCCTTCACTTTTGAAACTTCTTGGTCTTGTACTCAAGGCCCATCTTCTTTGACATAGGGATCCTCTCTTCCCTTTGTAAGAGTGAAAACTAATTCTGTGCACAGGATAGCTTTGCTGTCCCTGTGTTCGCATAATTGCTCTGTTGGGGCTGGGTTTGGCCCAGGAGCTTTGCTCAGAGCTCTTTGATGTTAAGTAGCTCGCTCAGGAGCAGTTTTGTTTCTGGTGACACTTTGTTGAGTCGGTAGCCTGGACAACTACCTAAAATCAGTACACAGCTCAAAACTCAGGGCCCAGTGCAGGCCGGA